CCAAATAGGAATTTGGACCTTTGGAAGAGACGCCAAACAGGTGCTTGGCTTTATATTTCGACCCCTTTGTAATCTTCCATATTAAAATTGGGTACCCCAGAATAGGGGATGCATCCAGCATACATATCGTAATCAGAAGAGACGTTTGGGGGAGGAAGTCCTCAAAGATCAGAGCTGGGAAGAATTGGGGATACTAGGATGTCATGCATTGGACTCGCATCAACATGCTCATCAGGATTCTTATGTCTTGGCTTAAAAGCTTTGCCCCATGAATTCACTTGGGGAATAAAGACTGACTATGTTGAACAAATTAGGGAACACAAAGTTATGGAGGATGCCCCTGATTAAAAAGTTTGATGCCCTGGTGTGGCAACCACATCTGACGTTGGTCAACAAGAATGAAGCACTGATGTAAGATCCTATAGTAAATGGGAATCATCTTCTAATAAGATGTTCTAAGAACTTGAGATTGCGTAGCACTCATGGTTGGAAGCAATTCCCAAGAGACAAGGAGAAGAGAGAACCTGCTGTGACAGTAGGTGCAATATTGTTGACATCGTCATCAGAGCTTTCATGACCTGGCTCATCTGAGTTTTCAATCAATTATCTTCCTACTTGAAGAGATTTCTGTCCACGGACCAAAGCTTGTATGTATACCCAGAGTTATTCCATAATTATTCTTTGAACCTGTGGAGCAAGAAATCAAGTTGAACCTCCGAGAGAGCATCATGTCTGAATAAGAATCCCCAATATTTGAGTACCTGTTATGGACGCATGAATATACATGGGATGCATGAACGGATGCCATGTCATGTTTCGTCATTTCTAAGGAATTTACGTGCTTTTTTTCTGATTTTACGTAAGTAAGGATGGAAAAGTTTGGCACTAGGCTCACAAATACGATTCCTTGGAAATCACAAAGCATGTATGTTAAGTATGTGTTCAACCATGTTATGTACGCAAAGGCATGAGATCAAATGGGTTCAAGGTTCCATCATTCCTGAATATGATTGCTACGAGTATCATCAGATTAGAGGTCTGGCACAGCTTCCGCACCTAAGAACCAAGTACTATGTAGATCACTGATTATACGATATCAAGGCTTCTGGAACTGGATATCGTTGAGCCTTTTCTGAATATGCTGGGAGTGCCAAGATCAAAGGCCTGAATGAATCTCCAAGTAAGCAAGTCAGGAATCTCAGAAAATAAATCTGAGAACCATACAATCACCAACAGAATAACATATGCATAAGTCACCGACAGAAACCCAGAACATAATCATTAGAACCAATAGTCACTGTCTGATCACAGTCTCCATCTGAGCATGAGTAACCATTTGGACACAGTCACCAACTGTACCTGTAATGACAAATCCCTCCCCACTCACGGGTGAAGACTAGGTCAGGGTAAGGTAACGGTAACTCGAAAATCACGGGTCCTCCTGAAAGTGCTATGGGCTTACCCACAGACGTGGGTGCCAATAATAGTTCATTTGAACCTCATCTGAGCGTGGTATATGACATGACTGCATTAATCGGACCACGTCTTATAGCCGTCATGCCCCCACTCTAGTCCTAGGTGTCCTAGTGCACTCTGGCCTGGGTACTGGGCCTTTTACCTCAATAGTAACATCCCCATCCAACATGGAAAACCAGAATCCATCATAATAGATGACAAATAGGGAAAGCAATAAAATGCAATGCAAACTTATGCTCAGATAAACATGTACAAATGAGTAAACTGAAAGCATAAAAATAAACACCCAAAGAAAAGAAAACAAGAGCTAGGAGCGACTCCGGGATGAACCAGCATTTGGTCGACCTATCCCCAGTGAAGTCGCCAGCTGAAACAACCGGCTGAAAATCATCAAACAATAAAGTCGACATCGAACGTCTTTTATCCCACATGTAGGGAAAGGTAAACATCGAGAAAATCCGAGAAGGATGAAATCAAGGTCGAATGACCAAGAGATAAGGGTAAGGGAGACTGTTACGCGAGGAGAAGGTATTAGCACCCCACACGCCCGTAGTACTCTACGGTATCCACTCTTGTTGTCTATCTTATGGGTGTGTTAAATCTATGCTTACTGTTTATTATACTACTGAAGGGAATGCATGCAAAAGAAAAGGGAGAAAATGTAGGGAAAATAAAAGTTGTGCTCGTTCGGGCCCTACCCCGATGCCTACGTATCCCTTCTAAGGAATCAGGGCAGCCGTAGTTCAGCTTACATGTTTTTGTTTGTTTGCATTTTTTTTACTGAACAATATTAATTTCGCCTTCTGCCACAACTCGACCTTTGGAGACTTACGCGTCAGCACAAAAGTGAATTAACATGCTCTCTTGAAAAGTTTGGAAAGAAATGTGCCTGGACGCACAAAAAAAGGTTTGAACTTGTTTGTTTTTGAGTGAAACGATAGTAATTTCGCCTTCTTCCGCAACTCGACCTTTGGAGACTTACGCGTCAGCACAGAAGTGAATTAATACGCTCTTTCTGAAAAAAGTTTGAAAGGAAGGCCCGAAGGCAAAAAGAGTTTGTGTTTGTTGGTATTTTTGCTTGTAGATAATAGCTAGTTAATCTCAAGGGAGAGATTTTAGCCATGTCTCTACTTATTCATGAAATAATTTTTTTTAAGACTTAAACCATACCAAGCCTTAGAGAAAGAGAATGATAAGATCGAAAAGAGACCCGCTTATCGTATCCATGTTCAACGAAGATATGATTCTAGTCAGCAAATTTAAAGTGTTTTGAATTTTGAAAGAGAAAAGAAGTTTTTGTTGTTTTAAATGGATATGCGAAAAGAAAAAAGAAAAGTCAAGGGGAGACTAACCTATTTCTACACCTAATGTTATCATACTTCATATGATCTATAAGAAGCGATAAATGCGGGTGAAAATTGAATGAGGTTGCGATAATATCGAACGGAGAAGGTCCGTTGCCTCTTCAAAATCGCACCAGCAATAAGAAAGCTCTACAGAAGCTACTCCGCATGAGTGATCAAAGAATTAGTCTCCAAGAATACCATATTGCGACAGTTACATCAATATAATATCACAAGATTTTTTAAAAAAATGATAATGAGAATGACTGTTTAAACATAAAATAACAGAAAGTTTTAATAAAATTCTAAAGAAAAGTTCTGGAGAATTCTAAAAAATGCTACTATTTTTGTACATCATTTTATCATGTAAAAAAAAGGTTCAAACAGATAAAAAAAATCGTTCAAAATAAACTAAAAAAAATAAAGTAAAAAGAGACCCAAGGGGGTGCAAGTGGAATTCAGGAGGCGTGCTGAAGTAATCTAGGCGCTGCAGCAAATCTGGGCGCAGAGGGCCCATCAGGTTGACTCCATTAACCAGTTTTTTTCACAAAACTTTCATAATCACAAAGCTTCCCCAAAAAAAAATTACGACGGGCTTGAGAATAATTGAGCCCGTTCCAGCCTTTGATTCAAATTATTCCATTCAGTTTTATTGTTGTGCTTAAAAGAATAAATAAAAAAACAATTAAAACAAAAAAACATGCGATTTGCAAGAGGGTTAGGGTTGGAAAATTGGGACAACCGATCTTCTTCTCCCTTCCTCTTCATGTGGCGCCGTGAAACTTCTACTCTCTCCTCTTCTTCGATCCATACATCAACCTCCGGTGTCGAAGCTCCGCTCACCTTTGTCATCGACGCTACTGTTTCGTTCTCCTTCAATCTCTCGCTGCCGTGGTCATCATCACCTTTGACCTCGATCTCCTTTCTTCATCCAAGGTCCCACATGCTTTAGCTTGATCTTACTTTCGTCTTCAACTTTTAGTCGCAGTTCTCAGGGTTCTTTGAGTGCGACTTCGATCGGTCTCCGCAGCTCAACACCTTCTTGTTTCGTTCATCCGATTCCGTGCGTTTTTCGTTGTTGGAGTTGTTCCTTTGCGACTACCACCTGAATCTTCCCCGAATCGCTAATCCAAGCTAGCGAACAAAGACTCAAACTCATTCATAAATAACGCTACAAGTTGGCATGCTAGAGACTTGAGCGAGACAAATGTGTAGAGAAATATATTCAGAGAATTGGAAGTTCCGTCGCGGTGGTACCATATCTCTAGCGATGCTCAGCCTCTAAACCACAGGTATTTCATCTTTTCTTTCTCTTTACCCTCACTTCTACTTCTACACATCTTTTCTGGTTCGCAATCTTGCGAAGACGTGCAACAATTGTGTGACGATACCGAATGATGACGATGGAGCTGATTTGTTGTTGTTTGCGGAGGCAGGTTACAGATCGGTTGCCGGAGGTGACGTAGGATTGATGTAGTTACGTTTGTCCTTACAGTGAGAAGCATGATACGAAATTAATGATAATTGGCGCGTCAAGGTCGTGAGATGAAGATTGTTGAAGAAGAAAGAGGGTGATGAAGGAAGAGGTTTATGGAGGCTCTTCTGCAGAATTGCAGAATCAAAATGAATTGGTAAATTTTTTATATTTTAATCTATTCTGTAGAGTTGAGAAAGAAAATGAATCCCTTCTGCCATCTGTTATGGACCTTTCTTTTATAGTCTCTTTTTTTTTTGAGTTTGTTAGCAATTAGGAGTTATAGAGTTAGTTAGAAAAGTTGGCATTCTGTTAGAAATTGGTTATGACGGTTAGGAGTTAGAAACTGTTAGAGGAGTTTGTTACTCTGTCAGGCAGTTAGTAGAAGTTAGTTAGGGAATCAGTTGTCAGTTTGTTAGGAGTTAGAATTGGCAAACTATTGGGAATTCTGTTGGATTAGTACACTGTTTTATTGCAGGGCTGTTTAGAGAGTTTGTTTTTCTGTTAGGAAAATTAGTTGTTAATTCTGTTGGATAATGTTTGGTTATCATGAATTCAATGCAAAAAACTGTTAGTTGCGTTGAAACTGAGAATGCAGAAGTTGTTGTGTTGATACATTCTTATAACATCGATGTTTCCTTTTTTTTTATCTGTGCAGAAAAATTGAACGAAGCGTATTGATGATAGATTAAAGATTTGACTTTGAATCAGTAGTAGAGATTGAAGATGAAAAATGCTGAAGCGATGAAGATAGCAAGGTTGCAGAGGCTCGGGGGGTTAAGGTTCAGTGGTGAGGATGATGAAGAGCAATGTTTCTTCTCAAATTCAAAATTGGCTTCTGGTGGGAAGAACACTTTAATTAGAGTAATGAATTTGCAGAGGTGCAAGCCAAGTTGAGAGAAATTGAGCTCTCTGTTTCTGTAAATTGTTAAATCCACAAACACAACATCTGGACAAGCAATTTGGGAAGAAGTGTTGTTAAGCTTGGCAATTACCAATGGGTTGCCAATTACTTTAAACGTCTCGGCAAAGGCTTTCAGACCCAGGCGTTTCTTTCCCTTTTGAAGAACATTGCAAAATTGAAACGGCGATTGAGTGGTTGTGTTTTTCTGTCGCAACAAACTCTGAAGTAACTGTAAATACTTTCCACTGACTTAGAAGCTTGAGCTGTTGTAGTATATATGACAGGGATCTTGCAGTCACAATTCTATTCACAAAAATTATACATTTCCTGTTCTGTTGCAACCTAAAACTAGTCAATATTCCAATGAGGCGTAAGAGCTTTGCTGAGAAAATGGCTCCTTTAATATTTCCAAAGAAGATGGATCAGAAACATTGTCACCTGTCATGCATTTGGATGTAAGTAGTTCAGCTGTCTTTGCAAGATATTTATCACATACAGACACGTCACTTGAAATTCCTTCCGCCTCAACTAATGCTTTCCTCTCAGAAAGATCACCGCTCAAGAGAATACGACTAGCATCATAAATTTTTTTCCTCTGAGGCAGAATCCAGGTGCTCTTTCAAAAGCAGCTGTTCCGAAAGTGTTCTTGAGAACCATGAAGACATACAGCATGCAGCTTGAGCAATATTGTCAAATTCCCATCTTTTCATAAGTTTAGCTTCTATAGCCAGTGATGTATCAGTCTGGAGCTCATTAAAGTAGTTGATACCACGAACCTTGTTCCATGTAACTTCAAATACAATAAAGCCATGTAGAGTTCTATGTAGTTCACTGCTGAATTACAAAGAATTCCTTATGTTTTTTTTTAGGCAGCAACACTCTCTTTCTTGATGACGCTACTGCTTCAATCACTGAGAACAATTTCTTTGGTTTACTTATGCTTGGTTGAGAAGAAACCTCCTTCCCTTCTTTTTTTTCTTCAAAACATTCAAGATTTCAAGAACTTGATCATGCTGATTGTTTTCTTTCAAAACTTTTCTTACAACATGTTGCCATATGTTCTTGATTTGACCTTCACTCAAAGGCTTAATCCAATATCCACAAGCACCTTTTTCAATCGCCTTCATCACTAGACTTGGTGTTTTTGATTGATCAACACACATCATAATGACTGGAATTCTGATTTGCTGTGTAACATGTTGCAAGAAATGGTAGGAATTCATGTCAGGCATTTGAGCTACACTTAGGATCACGTCACAAAGATTCTTTATTTCTTTCAAAAAGTTCAATGCAAAAGATGCATTACAGCAGGTTGTAACTAGATAATTGCATCGAATACACATATCTATAATGGAATTCAGAGTAATTGTGTCACGATCCACTATGAGAACCCTTAAATCATGCGGAAATTGGTGTAATGGGATTGTAATGATTTTATAATGAATGTTTGGTTCATATGAACTTGAAATTTATAGTGTGAATTGTAAATGACCTTTGAGCTTGAAATGTTGGGTGATGAATTTTAAGGATGGGGTTTAAATGACAAAAGTCTTGAAAAAATGCTTGAAGACATGAAAGCATCAAATTTTCTTGTAAGGTATTGTTACACTTGAATGAAATTGAATGGAATTGGATAGTATTTTTTGAATCATGAACGAAAGGGTTCGAATAAACTTTGAACACATGTGAACTTGAATCTGGAATAACGATGAACATCTTTGTAATGCGTATGAACTCCGACTTGAAACAAAACCTCGCAGTTTTTACTTTACCTTCCAAGAAAACCATATGACCAATACTTAAGGCTCTTTGCCGACTTTAATCCAACCAAACACTTTCGAACATCTTGAACTCAAATCAAACTTCAAATCCAAATCACACTTGCATTCTCAATGAACTCCTAACTTCAATCTTGAACCCAAATCAACTTGAAATGACAAATAATTTGAATAGTCAATAAGATCTTGATCAGATGGATGATAAAGTCTGAATCACAGAAGAATTCCCTTGATGTGAAACCCTTACAATCTTGATTCCTCGTTTAGACGCACAGAGAAATATTCGGACAAAACATCTTTGAACCATGATTCATCAAAACCTAAATTGATTAACTGAGGAGTAGATGATTGTCATGTCACAGTCGTTAATCCTAATCAAATGACAAGCATACTTATAGGAAAGGACGCCATGATTCGAAGCCCACATATGTTAGGTCACGTCCTAGAGTTCTTGACCAGAATGACCTACAATCGGTTGTTTATCAGAAGATATTATCCCCGTAACTTGGTGGAGGAGAAGTCCAAAAATGAGTCTAAAAAAACCTAATTCCAAAGCTTGCTGCATGAATAAGAAATCATCCTTTATTGGATACGAGCGCCTTAACCACTGTGAAACCCTAGTATCGCACAACCACTGAACTTTGACCCTCAGAGCTATATTGAATGAAATGTATGCCATGTTAGTGACCTAATGAAATAGATGCAGATGAATGCAAAAAGTCTAAGCCAAAGTAAAAGAAAATAGGAGGGCAAATTTTGGGGTGCAACAGACGTATACGTGGATTTTCCTTCGATATTTTTCTAACCCAAGCGTTTTTTTGATATTTATCATATGCTTTTATTCTGTTAATTCCCCGAAATTATTTCAAGATAATATTCATGAGTAATAATCGTAGTATTCTGTAAACAAATCTGATAAAAGAAAAAACATGATTCAAAAGATATAACAAAAACAAATGTTTTATTGATATGCCTCAGAGTGGGCGAGAATACAAGATGCAATTCCTAGAAAGAGGTGATTACAGAAAGTCTTAAAATAGTAAATGGCAAAAAAAAATGATAATCGCTACTGCTGTTCCCTCGTATATTTTAATGATCTTATCTCCCTTGCCTCTAATTTGTATGATTCCAATCTATCCTTCCCTTCGTGCTTCGTAGTCGTAGCTCTCAGATCGTAGTCTTTTTGTTCTTTATTTCTCTGTAGGGAATCCCTAACTTTTTCCTGGATTGCCCTTTTGGGTTTTCAATCCACCAGGATGATTTTCTTGTTATGTGCCCCTAATTTTTGCCTGGATCGCCCTTTAGGGTTTTTGATCCACCGGGATGCTCCTTTTTGCCTAAGTCGCCCTTTTAGGGGTTCGATCTTAGCGAGATTTTTATACATAGTATTTTTTGACTGCGTCTGAGATGGTTGGATGCGGTAGTTCTTACCTATCCATTGTTGTGAGGACGAGACCACCTCCAGAGAATGTTGTTTTGACTATAAATGGATCTTCGTAGTTGGGTGTCCATTTACCACGTGAATCGAGGTGAGGTAGTAAAATCTTTTTAAGCACTAGATCCCATTCCTTAAATATTTGAGGGAATACTTTCTTGTCAAAGGACTTCTTCATTCTCTTTTGATGTAACTGACTATGACACAAAGCCGTTAATCGTTTTTCTTCAATGAGGTTGAGCTTGTCAAGTCGGGCCTGCACCCATTCCGCTTCTTCCAGCTTTGTTTCCCTCAGGACTCGGAGTGATGGTATCTCAACTTCCACCGGGAGTACTGCCTCCATGCCATATAATAGTGAGAAAGGAATCGCGCCTGTTGATGCGCGTATATAAGTGTGATAGCCGTGCAGAGCGAAGGGAAGCATTTTGTGGCAATCTTTGTATGTCTTCACCATTTTCTGGATGATCTTCTTAATATTTTTGTTGGCTGCTTCGACGGCCCCATTCATCTTTGGTCAGTATGGTGAGGAATTATGATGTTCGATTTTGAAATCATCACATAGTTCCTTCATCATCTTATTGTTTAAATTTGACCTGTTATCTGTTATTATCCGGCTTAGGACACCATATCTGCATATGATATTCTGTTTGATGAAGCGCGTAACCACTTGACTTGTTACGTTGGTGTGAGACGCTGCTTCTACCCACTTGGTAAAGTAGTCGATGGCTACCAATATGAAGCGGTGTTCGTTGGATGCTTTCGGCTCGACCATGCCAATCATATCAATTCCCCACATTGAGAATGGCCAAGGGGAGCTCATGACGTTCAGAGGAGTCGGTGGTACATTTATCCTGTCAGCGTAGATCTGACATTTATGGCATGTCTTCGTGTAATGATAGCAATCGGCTTCCATTGTTAACCAGTAATACCCTCCTCGCAGAATCTTTCTAGCCATGGTGTGCCCGTTTATATGGGTCCTGAAAGTGCCTTCGTAGATTTCTCTCATGAGTGTATCTGCTTCTTGCTTTTCCACACATCTGAGTAGTACCATGTCGTAGTTTCTTTTGTATACCACTCCATTACTCAAAAAGAATTTTGAAGCTAACCTTCGCAAGGTTCGCTTGTCAATGATGGAGGCATTTTCTGGATATTCCTGCTTTTCTAGATACTTATGGATGTCGTAGAACCAAGGTTTGTTATCAGGTCCTTCCTTAATGGCAAGGCAGTGTGCAGGTTCTTCGAAATGTATGATCGTAATAGGCAGTTCATGATTCGGCCAAGTCACTTTGAACATAGCCTATAGGGTTGCCAGAGCGTCTTCAATTTGATTTTCTTCTCGTGGGATATGACTGAAAGTGATTTCTGTAAATTCTGCAGCTAACTTCAAAACATGATCCCGATATGGAATCAATTTATAGTGTTTAGTATCACATTCGCCATTAACCTGGTATATGACTAACGCAGAATCCCCGAACACTTCCAGGTGCTTTATTCTTAAATCGATGGCAGCTTCCAACCCTAGTATGCAGGCTTCGTATTCGGCGATGTTGTTGGTGTAGTCAAAATATAACCTTGCAGTGTAGGGGTGGTGATGATTCTTGGGAGATGTTAATACTTCCCTTACACTGTGACCTAGTGCATTTGAAGCCCCGTCTAACATAATTTTCCAACGTGCCCCTGGCTCGGGCCCTTCATCGGATCTTGGTATTTTGTAGTCAGCTATAAATATGACATCCTCGTCGGGAAAGTCGAACTTCATAGGCTGATATTCTGATAGGGGTTGGTGAGCTAGATGATCAGCTAGTATAATAACTTTTATTGCCTTTTGCGTGACATATTGGATATCGTATTCTGATAGTAACATCTTCCATTGTGCAATTCTTTCGGTAAGAGCTGGCTTTTCGAACACGTATTTTAGAGGATCCATTCTTGCTATTAACCATGCAGTATGGGTTAACATATATTGTCTCAACCTCTTGGTAGCTCAAGCCAATGCGTGACAAATTTTCTCTAGGAGTGAGTATCGGGTTTCGCAGTCAGTGAATTTCTTGCTGAGGTAATAAATTGCATGCTCCTTTCTATGGGTTTCATCCAGTTGTCCTAAAACACAACCCATTGACCCTTCGAGCACTGTCAAGTACATGATTAGTGGCCTTCCGGGAACTGGTGGTATTAAGATTGGTGGCTCTTGCAGATACTGTTTTATTGTCTCGAAGACAGTTTGACAATCGTCATTCAATACTATCGTCTGATCCTTTCATAATAACTTGAATATTGGTTCTCACGTAGCTGTTAGATACGATATGAACCTTGAGATGTAGTTCAGTCGCCCTAAGAAACCATGTACTTATTTTTCTGTCCTTGGACCGGGCATCTCTTGTATAGCTTTCACTTTGTCGAGATCCACCTCGATACCCCACTAGCTTACAATAAAACCTAACAATTTGCCTGATCTGACGCCAAATGTGCATTTATTTGGGTTCAACCTTAGTCTGAACTTACGTAACCGCTCGAATAATTTTTGTAGATGTATGATATGTTCCTCCTCTGTATGGGATTTGGCTATTATATCATCGACGTATACTTTAACCTCCTTGTGGATCATGTCGTGGAATAACGTGACCATTTCCCTCTGATAGGTTGCCCATGCGTTCTTGAGACCGAATGGCATTACTTTGTAGCAGAAAGTTCCCCAAGGTGTAATGAAGGTAGTCTTTTCCATGTCCTCAGGCGCCATCTTGATTTGATTATAGCCCGAGAAACTGTCCATATATGAGAATACCGAGGCTTGAGCCGTATTATCCACTAGGACATCGATGTGGGGTAACAGAAAGTCTTCTTTGGGGCTCGCCTTGTTTAGGTCTCGATAATCTATGCACATGCGTACTTTACCATCCTTCTTCAGTACTGGTACAATGTTAGCTATCCAAGGTGGATAATCTACCACTGCTAGGAACCCTGCATCAAATTGTTTGAGAACCTCCTCTCTGATCTTGTTGGACATATCTGGACGGGTTCT